GAAGGCGCACACAACTCAAAGGATTTCTGATCCTGAAAGGTGCTGCTTTGACCAGCCACACTGGCACTTGGGGGTTAATTCTATTTGACCACAGTCAATATAATAGTATAATAAATTTGACCACATTTGATATTTGTATTAAAATTTGTGCTTCATTCCAAACCATCAGTGTTAGTTTTTTTTGTTGTTGTTTTTAATCAGAAGAACACTATTTTCAAACAACTATATGAAGAACTCTTGCCTATGGATGTGCTCTGGCTGAAACAGGAGAGGGACCCTTGAGCCCCCTAAGAGGGAGCTCAGATGCTAAGGAACATTTTTGTTTTGTTTTGGGAGTGATACATTCTGTCTCTCTTGTTCTCTGGTCCTTTTCCAGATGTGGATTTGAGCCTTGCCGATCACTCTGAGAGCTTACCAATGTCAGTCCAATACAGTCGGCGTCTGGTTAAGTGAGGATACAAGCTGAGCTGCTGCAACAAAGAGCCCCCCTCAATCACACATGTGTTTCTTTCTTTCTCACATATCAGTTCAGAGGTGGACTGGCTGATGGTCAGGGCTGGCAGGCAGCTCCGCTCTCCAAGGCCATCCAGGAAACCAGATTCCTTCTACCTTGGAGTATGGTGATTTATAATCCACTGGGTTATAAAGTACTAGAACATTCCTAAACCCCCACCATGCTGAGGTCTAGGAAGCCATCCAGGATAAACCTCTCTCCACACACTGTGCTCAGAACACAAGTCTGGGAGTCAGAGGCACGGTCCCACCTCCACTGAACTGTGTTCTTTGCCTCTGACTCAGCTTCGTCTGTGAGGGATCTGCCCTGCTCTGTCTACTTGGTGGGACTGCTGTGTTGATCCAAGGGGATCCTGCATTTGAAGTTCCCTTGGAACTGCCAGATGATGTGCAAATGCCATGTAGGTCATTCACCAGGTGGACTGGAGAGTAAGCAGGTCAGTGAAAGCCCCTGCAGCCCCGCCTCTCCACCTGGAGCCAGTGCTCTTCACTAGATCACTCTGACCAGGTCTCCTCAAGATGCGGAGGCATCTGCTCTAGGACTATACCTGTGCAGGGGTCCAAGGGATGCTTGGGAGGGGCTTCTCCAACAAGCACACAGAGGGCTCAGGGCTGACTGGGCTCTCTGGGCTCTGTTACAAGCCAATCCCACTTGCTGGATCCTTAGTTTCTTCACCTTTAGAATGGGCACAACCATACTCTATATTTGAAGCTACTGTCAATTTGTGATCAGTTATTATGGGCCAAGCTTTTTGTTGAGTGCTTACATGCATTAACTCATTTAATTCTATCTGTGAGCGCAGTACTCTTACTTATCAGTTTTTTATAGATTAGAAAACCAAAGATCAAAGAGGTTGAGTAACATGCCCAGGACTACACTGCTAGTAGGTAGTGGGGACAGGATTTGAATCCTACCTGCGAGACACCGTCTATACTATGTTCTGGCAGTTCTGTGATGAGTTAAGGGCCTCCTATCTTGGGGGTCTCAGCTGCCTCCTTTGTAAAATGAGGGGCTGGAAAGGAATGGGGCAAAGGGGACCTATACACATGACATCTTTGCACCTGTCTTGAGGCCCAACAAGAGCCCAACTGTGTACGTTGGACCAAACTGTCTTTGAGAGTCTCACTCCCCACAACATCCATTTCTGTAAGAAGAAATGCAGTGATCCTCACCATAGTCCTTCAGCGTCTTCCTCTTCCACCCAAAGCAAAAAGCAGAATCCCAATGGAAGACAGACGTCCACAGAGACCTGGAATGGTGGTGGACAGTCAGAGCTTCCCCCCGTGGGCCCCAAGGCATGGGTGAGAATGGCTGATAGGACTAGGCTCTAGGACTTGATATCCCTCTGATAGCAAAATAGGAAAGGAACTTAACTGAAGCCTTAACTTAAAAAAAAAAAAATTATCTACAAGTAGCACAAAACAGTCTGCTTCACTCAACACATAAAGAACTTTTATAGATCAAAATGAAAAAATCCCACTACCACGATGGAAAAGTCTAAGACAATTCACAAGAATTAGCAGAAATGACCAATATGCCTTTGAAGAAAAATCCAACCTTGGTAGTAATCAAAGAAATGAAAATTAAAGCAATAAACCATCTTAAAGTATTCTTGCAAAAAAAAAAAAAACTAACTGGAATTAGCTGAAGCTTCTAGATCTAACTACCAGTTTATAGACAATACAGGGGAGAGAACAATTTAAATGACACCTGGGGGATGCAATCAGCTAAAATTGAAATGGGAAAAACTTTATAAGACTAACAACCCAGTTTCTTCAACAAATAAATTTTAAGAAAAAAGAGGGGAAAAAGAACTTACTAAAGAAACTTAAAACTTACTAAAAGAAACTTAACAGCTATATCAACCAAAAGCAATGTGTGTACCTTATTTGGATCAAACAAACCAAATATAAAAACATCAGACAATCAGGGACAGTTGAATGCTGATTGGATATTCGATGACATTACGGAATTATTGTCCCTTTTTAGGGAGTGATAATGGTATTGTTATTAAAAGATTATTTATCTTTTAGAAATACATAAGGCAATACTTACAGATAAAAATATATAATGCCTGGAATTTCCTTTAAAATAATCTGAGGGAGGGGAGAGAAGGTGGGGATGATAGATGAATCCAGATCTGTCAGGAATCCATTCTTGTTGAAACAGAGTGATGGGCACATGGTGGTTCACTATACTATTCTTTTTTTTATTATTATTCCTTTTCAAATTCTTTTCCCATTTAGGTTGTTAAATAATATTGAGCAGCGTTCCCTGTGCTGTACAATAGGTCCTTGTTGGGTATCCATTTTAAATACAGCAGTATGTACATGTCACTCCCAAACTCCCTAAGTATCCTTCCCCCACCTCCCAACCATAAGTTTGTCGTTCTCTAAGTCTGTGAGTCTATTTCTGTTGAGTCTGTTTCTGTTTTGTAAATAAGTTCATTTTTATCATTTTTTTTTAGATTCCGCATATAAGCAATATCATATTTGTCTTTCTCTGACTTACTTCACTCAGTATGACAATCTCTAGGTCTCTATTCTGTGTTTATAAACAACAGATTTGATAATCAACAGTTAAGAAAAACCATGGTATATTGTCTGAAGTCTGAAAGGTTATACACAAAAATGTGTGAACTCAGTGTGAAATTACATTAATATGTTTATACTCTCTTTTTTTTTTTCTTAATCTGGAGCAGTGAGGACGATCAGGAGGAAAATAATGTTTAAAAATGGCTTTAAGCTAAAGTGTCATAGCTAAAGGGGCCACAGAAAGTCTGCCACTGTGGGCAGCCAGCTCCTCCCTCTGGGGGAGCACAGACTCGGCTTTGTCCCCTCAGCTCCTGGAGGTGGGGACTCCAGCAAGATGGGGCGGGGCGGGAAGGCAGGGGAAAAGGACAGCACCTGGGCCGGGCTCTGTGCTGCATGGTCCCAGCCACTCCTCACGCAGCCTGTGAGGAAAGGGTTGTTGGTCCTCCTTAGCCAACCTCAGTGGAGAACTGGGCCTCAGAGAGCTCAGCGGAGCTGTCCGAGGGGATGAGGGAAGCAGCCAATGTGTGTTGACAGGTGTTCCATGCTGGGTACCTCCCTTTCATCCAGCTCTGCTGGTGGGTACCATTCTCCCCACGTTACAGAAGAGGAAATAGCTTCGGAGAGGTGACATGACTCACCCAAGTTCACTCAACCAGGGGCTGCCCAGGATCAAGACTGGCCTCAACCCTTTCCCTGGATGCTCACTCCCACAGTTCCCTGTGCCTGAAAGGGGCTGGGCCAGGGCTCAGGGGAGCTTCCATCTTAACACGGGGCAGGGTGACTCACAGACACGGGCTCCAGGTTGATGGGGGAGCAGCCTTAAGTGTGGACAAGGGCCTGGCTGAGGGGGCAGGGTCCCTGGATGCCTGGAGAGACTGAGCCTTCTCCTCGCCCGTTCAACTGGGATGGGCATCAGCTGCCTCTGGTTGAGGCCAGCAAGAGACCTTGGGTAAATGGGAACGTGGCTTGTAAAGTGCTGTATAAAGTGCAGTCTTGGGGTGGTGGAAGGAACACCTGTGCACACAGTAAGTCCCTCTGCAGCCGCCTTGTCCGAGCCTCACCTGTGAAGGGACGGCACTAAGACTGCTGTCAGGGAAGGGTAGAAGGGACAGGGCACGGCAAGGAACCCAGCCAGTGGAGCACCCAGAGGGCCTCTCCCTCCCGCAGCCTCCTCCCACCCACCCAAGGCAGCTCAGGCCCTTAGGGAAGCTCTCCAAAAGGCTGACGACTGGCCTCCTCCACAGACTGCAGAAGCCCTTCAGACTACCTGGCAGGTAAAGCCGTGGCCTCCAGGGGCCGCGTGCCTGGGCCCTGACCGGCTGTGCTGGGCCAGGCCTGGGCGCCTCTGCAGGCCCTCCGGGCAGGGCTGGTCTGGAGGGTGGGGAGCCGGGGCTGCCCCACCCTGCAGACTCGACCTTCCACCTTGTGATGCTGGTCTCTCCTTCTGGTCGACCTGCGGCAATGGGCTTCTCCACTCCCTCTCTCCTTTTTTGTCTCTCTCAAATCGGCCTCTCTTCCTCAGTATCCTCTCACCCTTTCTCTCTCCCCCACCCCCTTTCTCTTGCCATTTTAGTTCCTCTATTTCCTTCCTTCTTGTTCCGTTTGCCTCTCAGACTCCTTTTTCTCTCTATCCTCATTCATAGTTCAGACCCATCTGTCTACCTCCAAAGTTTCTTTCTGTCCCAGCCTCTCCCTTGCTCTCTGTATTCTTCCCTCTCTCCTTTGTAATTCTCTGGTCCTCTGCCTTTATCTCTCTGCCTTTTTTGTCTCCATCTTTCTCTCCGATTTCTCTCACCATCTCTCTCTCTCTCTCCCTCCCTGCATCTCCCTCTCTCCATCTCTCTCCATCTGGCTTCGTTCCCATCTCCCTCCCTCTTCCCTCCCTCTCTCCTGCTCCGTCCTCGCGGTCCGCGGTCTCCCCGACCGTCGCCCCGCGTCCGGGCCCCACTCACCGGTGAAGGCACCCGAGGCGCGGAGCAGGGCAAGCCCGGCCAGCGCGCAGAGCAGGGGCCGCATGCTGCCGGCTGGCGGAGCGCAGCGCCGCGTCTGCCCGCTGCCGCTCTCCCCGCCCTCCCCGGGATCGCGCCGGCCGGCCCGCCCGGGAGGAAATGCTCGCAGTCCCCGCCAAGATTCCTGGGCGGCTCCGGGCTTTCTGGCTCGAAAGAGCCCGCCCCCTCCAGAGACCCCGCGGGCGGAGGGGCGACGCGCCAGGCTGGGCGCCTCCCCTGGAAGGGGCCGCGCTCTGAGCCCCCGCGCCTCCCCCGGGCCTGAGCGCAGAAGAGTGGGCGATACAGCCGGGGGTCCAGTGATCCGTTATGAGCCCATTTCACAGACGGGCGGACTGCAGTTTCGAGAGAAGTGCCACCCACACCTGTGGCACGGGATCTGAATTCCTGACTGCACGGAGTGTGGAAGCTTTTCTCTGCCCACCAGGAACAAGTAATCAACTCTCATGACATCGAACAGAGTGTTCAGCACATACTTAAGGTCTGTACTAGTTAGTGTTAGGTAAACTTTGGAGGGGGGAGAAAAGGAAATAATTCTCATATTCACATGTCTGCACTTGAGGAGTACGTGGTCTAGTGACCACCCCAGTATGAATGAACAGTAACTAAGCTTTGTTTGATTTATTCTACACACACCATCTCTCTGATCTTCACTGCACCCCCATCAGGAGTGCATTACGTCCATTCTGCAGACCAAGAAACTGAGGCTCAGAGATGTTAAGAGCCTTGCCAATAGTCACACACTTGGTGTAATGTGGAGTCAGGATTTGAATCCAGTTCTGTTATTGGTAGATAATAATATATTGATACAACGTATTAGTGAGAGCCGGGTTCTTTCTCCATTCTAAGCAAACCCAGAGTAAAAGCTGGGTGGGTTTTTCAGTTAACTTCAAATCATCTCCACCTCCCTCCAGTTTAAAAAACAGTAATTGAACCTTCACCTATGGGACACGCCCACTCAACAAATGGAAAAAAAAAAAAAAAAAAAGTTAAGATTTGGGAAAACAAAAAGCAAAAGCCACAGCCCTAACATCTGCACTGCAGAGCCTTGAGTGCATGTCCTGGCTGCCAGTGGAGCCCCTTCATTGCCAAGCCCAGGAGTATGTTTTTATCCATCAAGGGGCCCCTTTAGGGTTAACTGGAGCCCTTGCAGATCAAGGCTGCACCTCTGCCTTCTCTATTACTAACTGTGGCTGTGCAGTTGTACAAATATAGCCACCACACTAAGCAATAATCCTTCCTTCTCACTTCTTCCTCCAGATAATAGCCTCAGGAACAGAAATTCAGGTTTTGAGTCAGCAGATCTTGGACAGAGACTTGGATCTAAATTTTTAAAAAGCTCTCTTGGGAATTGGGATGCCCACATGAACTGGCTCAAAAGAAGGATTTATTTCAGAAATGCCAAGAAGTTTTCACACTTGGTAATAGGACTTTCTTGGTAGTTTACCTCGGTGGGAAGTTGTCAAAGAACAGTCAAACCCACAGGTTTGCAGCTCAGAATAAGTGGGCTGCCTAATATTTCGAATTTGCAATAAAACAACATATATACAATACTTTATTTTATTTTATTTTCAGTACGTGGGCCTCTCACTGCTGTGGCCTCTCCTATTGTGGGGCTCTGCAGCATGTGGGATTGGCATGTGGGATCTTCCCAGACCGGGGCGTGAACCCGCATCCCCTGCATCTGCAGGCAGACTCTCAACCACTGTGCCACCAGGGAAGCCCCTGCAATACTTTCTTATTGTGGTAGAGGTGCAAATTAATAAAGCATGCAGGGTAAAACCCCTCCCTGTCACAGACTCCCCCTACCGGGTGATTCTGTTACAGACCAGGCTTCTTGGCCTTCTTAATCAACAGAAATTGATAAGAAGCCAGACAAGAAATTCAGGCAAGGCTTTACTGGGACTGGTGCTGCAGCACAAGGGAGTGAAAACAACTAACAGTTTCCCTTGCTTACTCCCTGGGGGGGAGGGGAGGCTGAGCTGGTTCCTTATGTGGGGTGAGGGTAGGGGTGGGTCCATGGGTCTTGCTGGAGGGGTGGTCAGGTGGTCTGCCCACCCCCTTGGTGGTGCTGCGTGCAGGGCGCATGCACAGTACCCTGCTTTTGCTCCCTGTTCCTCAGAAGTGGCAGTTGGGTTTTGGTCCTTTTGTATCTTCTTGTTCCTAATTTGCCCCAACTGCCCATGCACGCAGTTATTTTTAGTCCTGTATAGTTTCTTTGTATTATGTTGCTGGAGGAGACATTCGTCCAGGTGCAAGCACTGCAGCAAAGGGTCCCAGGTCCCAGGTCCCAGCCTGTCTCAATTCCAGTCAAGTTCCCTCAGCTTGGTGGACTCTTCCAGTTCCTTGTCTGTGCATTCCCTATCCATCTAATATAAATTCAGACACAAATATATAAACATAGGATTGAATAATATAGTTTGGGGATTTGTTTTCACCTTCATGTTCATCTCAGTCAACACCAAATCTTAAAGATCATTCTATATTAGTACACCTAAATCTGAGACAGGCAAAATATCTCATGATTGAAGGCACTATTATTTGTCCAGATGATCCCCTGTTGATGGACATGGAGTTTGTTTCCTTGTGTTTTTTCCCAATATAAAGCATGCTTCAGTGAACATCCTTTTGCATGTATCTTTATCTATATATTACATAATTCTGTATTTCTGAAAGGCCTTATTCCTGGAAGAGGAATCAGTGATTCAGAGGGCCTTTTACATTTTGCTAGATATGCCAAAGGCTCTTACTAAGCCCAAAGGAGGGCCGGGGCACTGAGAGCAAGGCTCCAAGGTGCACCCAGTTACATTGTAGTTTATGTTGCAGTTGTGCTGCAGGGGGTGCCATTTACATAAAATACATCTGGAGTGGGAAGAGCTGAAGTGGATCTGGCAGCCCTGTACATTCTCCAACACTGAATATTTATCTTTTGATATTTTGACAGTTTGATGATGAAAAAAATGTTACCTTTTTGCTTCTATTTACATGCTATTTATTGAGTGAAGATGAGCTTTATTTGCCTAGTCAAATACTTTTTTCTATTTTTCCCTCTTTTCTTTACATATTCTGATTATTAATCCAGTAATGCCTGATAGATATGTTGGCAATGTTTTCTTCCATTCTTCTATTGTCTTTAACTTTCCTTGTGATATCTTTCATCATACAGAGGTTTTAGATATTTATTTAGGTAGCCAAATTTCTCAATATTTTCTTTTATGGCTTCTAGATTTTACAACTTGCTTATGATTCCTCACATCAGGAATATAATCAAATTATATTTGATTCCTCAAATATAAAAGTATTTTCCAACATTTTCTTCAAATAGCTTAAAGTTTTTTTAAAGGTGTAACCTCTAATACTTCTAGAATTTTTATGTGGTTCCAAGGAACGATTCAAGCTTAAATTATTTTCCCACATGGACATCTAAATAGCCTGCTCTTTATTGCACAGTCCGTCCTTTAGCCACTAATTTGAACATAAAACAAGTTGTTGGTTCAGCTATTCATTCCCAAGTGGAGGTCCAAAAAAATCTCTCGCCATCATGTCTGTTATAAGGTCAGAGAAACAAAACTAAAATAAGCTTATCATTTCAATAAATACTGAAACTATTATTTTATGAAATTAAATAGCCATCCCAGACTTAAAAACAACAACAAACTCTAAGAGGTAGAAATAAAGAAAATAAAAGTACATTTTCTTCATTAGATAACTACTTTTACCTTACACAACTGGTTCGCACATACCTGCAGGAGAAAGGAGAGTGGCACCCTTTAGGAAGCCAGGAATGAGGTAAAGACACCATCCATCACCACTGTTAATTATCTGTGGTCTGAATGATGCAATAAAGTACTAGTGAAAAGAAGAGTTATCGTAAAGGAGACAAAATACTGATATTAGTAGAAGATTCAATTGCTTTCTCAAAAAATCCAGTAGAGCTAAAAGAACTACTTGAATTACTCAATAAATGGGCTGGATTTAAGATAAGTGTTTGGCGATCAATTTATTTCCTGGTACCAACAGAAGCCAGCCCAAACATATGAAGGAAAACTTCTGGGCAGGATGATAAGGACCCAGTTTGCTAATGTCCTCCTTCCAGTGTTCTCTAGAAATAACCAATGAAGTTAAAAATAGGGGAAACTAGGGAAATATGCCAACCATATGCTGGGCCTCGAAGCAAGTTGGTGGCCAGTTGGGACTGATGACAAGTATCATTATTTATTATTACTCTGATATTTGCTAAACTTCTTTGAAACAGGTTGTGCTCAGGCTGTCCATATGTTGTTTTATTTAATCCTTGCCCCAAGAAACCTAAAAGGAAGGTGTCTTTATCTCCTTTTCAGATAAGATATATTTGATTAGGTCAGAGGGCGGCAGATCCCAGGTTGGAAGGCAGGTGGATCTGATTCTAAAACTCACTCTCTCTTTTTTTTTTTTTTGCAGTACGCGGGCCTCTCACTGCTGTGGCCTCTCCCGTTGCGGAGCACAGGCTCCGGACGCGCAGGCTCAGCGGCCATGGCTCACGGGCCCAGCCGCTCCACGGCACGTGGGATCTTCCCGGACCTGGTCACGAACCCGTGTCCCCTGCAACGGCAGGCGGACTCTCGACCACTGCGCCACCAGGGAAGCCCTAAAACTCACTCTCTTAAGCATTATCAGGCCCCAGGTGAGTAACTAGGTAGTGAGGAAATCTGGAGGGAGGTGGAGGTGGAGGCAGAAGAGGACAAATCGGGTATTTGGGGGCTCAGAGTGGCAAGTCCTTAAGCAGTTAGGGGGAGACGACCCCTAACTGCCTGCATAGCTGAAGTGCCATAATGTGCAAGCTTTCCTTTCCTCTAATGCTTCTGTCACCCTGGCAGGTAGCACCAAGATCCATGGTGAACACACACAGTTTGAGGCCTGGAGAAGTTAGGTGGTGGCCTAAGGTCACATAGAAATGTGGGGATTTGCTCCCAGGGTGCCAGTGCCCCGATAGGCAACGCTGCAGGATGTGCACGGCCTCCCAGCCTGGCC